AGAGAGAGAGAGAGAGAGAGAGAGAGAGAGAGAGAGAGAGAGAGAGAAAGTAAAGGAAGATCAGGGGGAATACATAAAAGCACAAAAATAATAGAGTGAGCAGCGGCAGAGATCATAAAGAGCAGAACAGAGAGAGTAGGTCAGGGGTGGCGAGCTTCATTTAGCCTGTTGTTTCTCTGGCTGGCAGAATGATCTATTGATTTAGCAGCGAGCAGCGGCACCTGGCTCTGTCAGCGGCTCAGCACTGACTGCTTGCCACACTAACGGGCCAGGTAAACAAAGCGGGCCTGCTACTTTTAGTATCAGCCAACAAACACAGGGGAAATAAAAGAAAAACGTAACCAAGAACAACACAACTGCCATTGTTGAGCTGGCGGATAGCTTCTATGTCCAACACCTGGTTTGATACGGCACAGAGGAGTGCGCCGGATGGGGAGCAGAAACGACTCACCGCCAGATCTCTCAACACATTTGGCTTACCATGGTGGTACATTTGCATAATCGTGATGTAATGGGATAGTATTGGGACCAAAAACAATGCAAGCAAGGAGCAGGAGAAAGGTTACTTACTCTATGAAATAAACCATGCCGGTCTCCGTGTAGGCCATCTCCCACTTTTTAGGCAAGGACTCCTGACTTTCGTCCTGTGTGTTCCATACGCGCAAGTCCATAGCCGCGGCTGACTGGTTGTAGCTGGGCACCGTCTTCCTCCACTCCGCCTCGTCTTTGTACTCTGTGGCCCGGCATGGTGAGAGGGACGCGGGCATGGAGACAGAAAGGGGAATGGGTTGGCAGTAAAGGTATGGGAGGTGGTAGAGGGAGAAAGAGACAGGACGTGAGAATGTGGCGCCATTGGAGCTCCTCTGGGCTCCTTGCATCTCTCCCCGCTGCTGCTGTCGCTCGAGTTGATCTTCCTCTGTACACTGTGGTGGACGGTTACATCCACGAGAGAGCAAGGGGTAGCGAAAGAGAGGGAGAGACAGAAAGAGAGAGTGCACAGAGAGAGGAAGGAAGCGCAGCAATTGCCATAGGATTTGCATGTCAGCAGAGATGTGCTGGAAACTGCCTCCCAGGCAAGGGCAAGAGCTGACCAATGCTTCAACACAGCCGCAAGTGCCACATCACAACTCTATTAGCATCACACAGGCTGCTGCATGTGTGTGTGTGTATTTGCCTAATCTTGATGTGTGTGTGTGTGTGTGTGTGTGTGTGTGTGTGTGTGTGTATGTGTGTGTGTGTGTGTGTGCCTCTCTGTGAGAGGCTCTTATCTGCAGGTTTTCATCTGGCTGTGTATGACCTAGCTTCATCATGGCATTGAATGCTCAGTCTGTTTTTTCTGGGGTAATTGAAAGGCAGGGATGGGAAGTGACAGCTGTTGACTGGAAGAAGCCAAGAGCTTTTTGTGTTGAAATTGGGGCCTCTTTTTCATCATGGAACCATGGAGGGGCTTCTGCACTTACAAAGTCAAGACTAATTGACTACATACAGACACTTGCTCTGGGCTACAGCAGCTTTCAACCCTTGTAGCGATAAATTATCTATGTCGCAGATAAGGGCACACAGGCTTCGTAAATTGATGAGCATGCTAACAGGACACAAAAGAAAAATGTCTGTTAACAATGACGCATGACCATTATTGAACTATACCTTCAAGACATGGTGATATGTCTTCCTCTACCCCTTTTATAATACATCCTCACCACTTCAACAATTCAATACATCCACAAAGAGCATTTGAGATAAGACAACTCGTGAACTGCAGAATTGGGAGTGACATCGTTCTACAATGTTTTTTTTCTTGGCTGGGCTCCACACTGCCATCATTATTGCCCAGGGCCACAGAGATGATGCGTCTCTGACAATGTTATTCTCTTTTGCTTTTGGATGTCGGATGAGCAATTGCACGCTCACTGATCTTTCTTTCTTTTTTTACAAACTTCCCCCGTCCTCCATTGACATGTAACCAATGTCTCACAGTGTAAAGTTGCTTCCCCCTCCCTCCTGTGGATGCTACATATGGTTCACACAATACAGTGTGTTATTGGGATCACACCTGTCTGGGTCAAATCAAGCACTACAAGTGCATAAGCAATTTTTTCATATTTTCATGCAGATTACCATCCAATTAGTCAATTTATTATATGAAGTAATAAGACAGACAGCTTCACTTTACTGAATTTGATTGGCTGTTTCCAATGCAGCTTCAGCTGTTTGATGGGCGACTTCAACCGCAGGTGCTTTTGCAGGACCGGCTTCAGGTAGCCAGTCAGAAGCAGACGGGTTCATGGGAGTAAAAGTAAAAAAAACAAAAAAAAAAAAATTATAATTGCACTAGATTTATTTTTTTCCATGCATTTTTATGTATGAGAAGACCCCAAATGAAAACTGTAAGTGGACTACTTAAGTAATATAAACTAATTATTTAAACAGCCTTTGTATAGGAATGATTCTGCAGCGGCAGATCATTGTAACCGTGATGACTGTCAGCGGTTTCCACTGCATATACAAATTTATGTTCCAGATGGGTGTGTGGGGTCATTGGAAGGGAACTGACATTTCCTTGAGAACATACCTGAACTTGATGCGTTTCAGTACATTTACTGTATGTTTTAGTGCTGATAGCAATAACATGATAATGGCATGAAAGGGTGTTGTTTAGACTGGTCAGAGGCCCGACATTGAAGCCATAACAGAGACTGCTCCAGCTGGAGAAGTGAAGGGCCGGAAGCTGCTACTATGTTCAGTTGGCTGGTTTTGATATGCTGGTATTACGAGAGAAAACTTTTTCATATGGATGGTTATTATGTGACATGTTGGCCCATAGTCTGAATATTACCATTTAAATTGTAGTGTTGATAACAGCACAGCAGTCAGAGGATTCCTAACTGCTTTCACAATGAGGACCACTCACCATTAGCTGAAACATGTTCAGATTTTGCTTGTGCCATGAGCCACGAGAGGACAGCCAAACAAGAACAAAGTCTACCCCTCTAACCGAGGGATTGCTTCCATTGATCTCAGCCAGACTTTGACTGCTTCTTGACTTTGCAGTGCAGTGATTTAGTGCTGACGTTGAATACAGAGCAGCTAATCCTGGCAATGTTTGTTTGAGAAAAGAATGATAAGGAGGAAAGAAAAAAAAGGTCCTGTTGTTTTGCATTCTGAGAGTAGTATAATGAACGCCTGAACACAAAAATTATTTGAGCAAACAAAGAACTGCTGGGGGTTTAATTTTGGCAAAAAGCGGTAAGAAGCACAGCTGCATAACAACTAGTAAGAACTGCAGAAGCAGTAAAAGAAGAAGACCAAAGCGTCTCTCACCAGCCAAGCCGTTGACCATAGGAGGCCTCTCATCTTCCTCTTCCTCCTCTGGTGCAACGCTGTCCTTTCTGTCCATCTTACTGACAGAGGTTGTGCGTTTTCGCTGGACCTCCGTGTCAAATTCCTCATCAAACAGAACTTGGTCCACCAAGTCCGGCTGCACGGGGCTGGGCTCTGCAGGGGGCTTAGGGGTCCCATAGTAGTTTCCTGGAATGAAGAGCGGGCGACAGAGACAGAAAAATATACTTGTGAATATGTTTTACTTGTAAAGACTTCTTTGACGATGTTCAATGCATAACCAATTTGACCCTCCGTTACTATCTAATCTCAACCTGTCTCAGCAAACCCCATCTCATCCTAATCTTAAACCCATGCTGGAAACCCCATAACAGCCCCTTGTTGAAGCTAGGACGGGGAGATTGTTGGACTGCCATGCTCGGATGGATTTTTCTACCCTCGGGAGAATATTTGGTCCTCATGAGTATAGTAATACCAAAAGGGTGCACACACACGTAGTCCCAAAGGTTAAATACTGTAGGAAAGAATTGACAACATTGTCTTGGCAGTGCACCGCAGAATAGGAAGAGGCAATTAAGCACCGATGCAGCTGGAAAACCACTGTCGATTCCAGATCCAGGAAAAGACCATCGCACCTCAACTGTAGCAGTGGCTTAAATGATTTAAAAGGCGCAGGAGAGTCTGATTGTGAGCTACAGATCATATCTGGCAGAGCCGTATTGCTTGGAACAGAATGAGGCCAAACCTTTACTCCCGTAACTCAGGTCTTTGAAAGGTTTCTTGGATGAGGGACAGTTGACGCAAATTATTCTTTGTTAATTCCAATTGGATACCAACTGTACCATATGGCGAAACCATCACACAGAGAGGGGTCATGTTGTCTTCCCGGGCCTAAATGCTGATTATGCGCACCTGCCATCGAGCAAGAGAGTTTCTAATGTAACAGAGACATGAGCCCCGCTGGCTTCCCACATACACACGATTTTCTCATTTGTTATATGATATTGTTAATATCTAATCTAATCTTTGTGTTAATGTACTACTTAAAAAAACAACAAAAACAACAGACCAAAGCTAAAAAGCCTGGGCTGGAGCATTATAATTTGTACTGCTTCATTCCCCAGGGAACTGTGGGTTTACGCCAAGGTAGCTTCTCAAGCACTCGATTGCCCCTTTAAGTCCATCAGCTTGCCTTTGCTGTCATGTTGGTGCCTAAGGCAGCAAACAGCCTCACACCACAGAGCGAGTCTTCGTCTTCCCTCAACTATTGGAGAGGGGTGACCCACTTTACCACTCACTACCTTCTCTCGTCCTGCAAGAGAATACTGAATAAGAGAGCGGATGAAAACTTCAAAGCACAAGGAGGTGAGAAAATAGTTGGGGAGGTATGGTGCAAATATTGATTCAATGGCGGTTCTCTGTGAATCCACAGTCCTCCAGTGTTTGTGTGGGATTGCAGTGTTTAAGAGTGAGCTGTGTCTGAGAGGCTGAACATCTCTCTTGACGCGTATATCAGCAAATACTCAGTACTCCATCGCAGTATGTATGTATGTATGTATGCGCAGGTGTGTGTGTGTGTGTGAGAGTGAGAGTGAGTGAGAGTGAGAGAGAGCACTATCTTACTGACAGAAATGTTGTGGCAATGGAATTAAGGTTCCACACCGAGATAAATGAGACAAAATCTTTTTAAAGAGTTTCATTCTTCTTTAAATACATATTTGATTTGATTTGACTCACATATAAATCACAATGACAGCACAGAGGAAACGAATCAATTTTAGAGCTTCTTTTTCAGCTATAATTATGACATGCTACAACAATCAACCAAAAAGCGCAATTTATCTGAGCGCTATGTTAAACGAAACATTAGAATTGATCATGGCAATTACATTAATCCGTGTTTGAACGTATGAAGTATTCATTTCGGTACCTTATCGAAAACCATTAAATCCTTTCCTAGGTTTGTAATTAATAGGATGCCGACTAACGAAATGCAAATTGAGGGAGTTAAATTAGAAGTAGCAATTTGCTCTGTGCACTCTGAAGCTCAGGCAAACGTAGCCTATGTAAGTACCCATTAGCAAGGAGCCGGGTGAAAGTGGCCACAATAAGGAATTGCATTAAAATCAATCAAGTTGTAATTAATATTGTACTATTGAGTCACAGTCACTGATAAGAATGTATCACTTCATTCAGTGTGGATGTAAAAATCCTGCAGCCTGAAAAGAAATAACTCAAAAGACTGGAGGCTGGGGCAGAATTAAGTGAGATGTCTCATTTAGTTTTACTTTAAAGGTGCAGTGTGTAGGATTTGACGCCATCTAGTGGTGAGGTTACAGATTGCAACCAACTGAAACTTCTCCTGTTGGGCCAAGCATGTAGCTGAACTACGGTAGCTGACGTGAAAACGCAAAAAATCCCTCTCGAGCACCAGTGTTTGGTTTGTCCGTTCTGGGCTACTGTCGAAACAACGTCATGAAGAGGACCCACTCCAAATGTAGAGCTGAGCTCAGGGTACTCTGGTGGATACAGCAGCCAGGGCAATATGGGCGGCTACAGTGATTACATTAGGTAACCAGGGCAGAATGGGAAGCAGTTACTATGGCGGCGGCGGTGGAGGAGGAAGCAGAGGCTCTATGAACGGACTGAGCGGGGGATGGGGAATGTAGATTTTTTTTGAACAATGATCATTCTAAGGTAACAGGAAAACACATCAGTTGTTATTTTCAGGTGATTATACACAAAAGAAAACATACTCATTAATATATTCAATTTCCACATCTAATGCTACACACCGTTATCGTGCACCTACATTTTGGTATCTGGAGTGCCTACCAACTCACAAACTGGCAGACACTGTACTTATACAAACATACTCTAGCAGAATGAGTGGTTATGAATTAGCATGGAGAGAAAAGAAATGTCTTTTTTTATAAATTATTGAGCGTGTCAGAAACTGCCAAGTGTCAAGACTCACTTTTGCTTGTAAATTAGCACTTACACGGCTTCTGTGTCTGGATAGAATCTTTTTTATTTGAGGTTCAAAATGAGCCATTTCGTTATCGACCCACCTCTATTAGACAGGCAGACGAGAGAAAGTAGTTTGCTCAGATCATCATCTAAATTAAATATAGTTAGAGCTGCCGTCATAACAGCTCATCTAGTGATGTGGAGGCTGCTGCTGTGCTTTCCCTCACGACTGATGCCGGAGACAGAAATCACTGATCTAACCTGTCTGTTGTCCTGATGTATGATTCTGACTCTTTAACAAATGTCCGACGTCTCATTATCAGGACAAAGACCGTCCCTATTGGGATGCCGGAACACATTCTAAAAGCGGTCCTCATTTGAATAGGATGTCTGGTCACCCTTTGGCAACCCTGATTATGCCACCTCAAATATTCCACCTTAATTACTGCCTTAGATTAATGGGTTGTTCATTCTTGGAGAGAAAAAAGAGCCTGGGAGCCACCATCCCACCAGTTCCCCATGACCACGTGTGTGTGTGTGTGTGTGTGTGTGTGAGACACCTGTTGATACGGGCACTGAATCAACACGTCAACATGCTGTATTCTATGCGGAATGTAACAATGAACAAGGACATGGAGCAACAACAATTACCGTAATATCTATGAAAGAATAATTCTAATAAATAATTAATGAATAAATTTGGCCATAGTGATTGCTCAGATCTCCGTCCTCGGTATTCTACAATATGCTCAACTGTAGATCGCCCACTTACAAACACTATACAATACAATGCACAACACAAGTATACAAATGATATATTTACTGTTGTCCTGTACTATATTTACTGTGTGTTCTACATAAATGTACTTAGGATTTTGTCATTCATTCATTTAGCGTTATAGTTAAAATCCTACAAATATCTACAACCAAGAATTCTGCTCACAGGAAGACCTCAATTCAATCAAACTATTGTCTTAATGCGATTACTTTTGTGTGCATGCATGTATAAACAGTCAGGACTATACTAAACTTTACTATGTGGTCATTTCGTATAGAATATTTATTAAGTAAACTACCAGAAAACGGGCTACATTGTGATATATATTGTTATCGAGATGTGAAATGAACGGAGGTCGGTAGTAACAAGTAACAATTACTGTGTAATAAACTAAAATAAAAAGTATAATATTAATGTCATATTTTGAGACCACAGACTGGGAATATTGTCTGGTTTATACGTAGCATGTATACTTTTACTTGAATACAGTTTGTGGCTACTCTACCTACCTCTGTAAATGACATACATCTGGACAGAAGATTTTGACCATATCACCAAGCCCTCCTGACTAGAAGTATAAAAACTACTGATGAGGTTCATATACCTCTCAATTTGTTGGCTATGTTTAACCTATTAGAAGCAACGGTTAGTCTTAAAGAGAAGAAAAGGACAGCGGATAAAAATACTACTGCTCATCACACTGTAAAATTAAACATTTCTGCTCATCAACAGATTATGCCATGTCTATCTTGCGTCTCTTTAGTCACGCTGTGGCAAAGTGACAAGGAGCAGTCTTGATAAAGGTAACATCAGCAGAAACAGAAACAGTGCGCACAGAGGACTGACAATTTTGGCATAGTGCGATTACATTAAAGCTCTTTTGCAGCTTTCAGAGAGTGGTGGGTGGACAGTGCAAAGCAAAGCCATTTTCAATTTTTAACAGCCTGGGCCAACGCTTGCTTGGCACCGTCAGTGAACTACACAGCTATTCAGTCATGTTACACATGCAGGCTTGTGTTTGCTGCCAATAAGAAGCAGTTTCATGTCAAAGGGAGTATTTGTTTTTTGTTTTAAACTTGCTTCATGTTAAAAGGTGTCTGTGCCCAGAGAGCTGAAATATACACCACTAAAGCTGTGTGTGTATGGGTGAGAAAGAATGCCTGTATGTGTGTGTGTGTGTGTGTCACGTCATCCGTTTTAGTCAACAGCTGTCAGCGTATCTCATCTCCAACTCGTGAGAATCTGATTAAAAACGAGAGTACAACTGTGACCAGAGTTGAATCTGCAGCGAGACATAATCTCTCTTAATCACACTATAACCTTCAGAAAAACTTTAATTATAAGCTGCGATGGAAATGCTCGAGAGCAAAGATTCACGCAGTCATGGTCATTTAGCGATGTGCAATATAGCTCTGTGTTTTTAAAAACACAAATGGAAATC